TTTGAGAGTTGCTTAGTAGCTGATTGACAACCTCAATATACTATTTTGACTAAACCATAGAGTTTGCATCATAGAGTTAGTTGAGGGGTATAAATGCATAAAGATAGGTTAGAGCAAGACCAGGTATAGCCTTGAATGTTAGGATAAAATATAGTTTATTGTATATCTTAGAGTAATACTTGATCACTTGAGAATTTATTAGTGTAAATATGTATTTTCTAGATTTCTAGGGATGAGTATTTGAATGTTCCAATATTTAATGAAAAGCTATTCATTCTGGTTATGTTTTTAGTGATTTTAACTCAAGTTATGTAAGTTACCTTCTGGCTAGTAAGTCTACTTGCCATTGTTCAATAATGATTATGAGGGATTTGTGTGAAGAGTGAAAAAATTTACCTGCATTTTGAGTCTTTAAATTACTTGTCTCCTTTTATACTAATAATCAGTTTGGAAATAGCCCAGCTTCTTTAAAGAACCAAAGATAACTATTATATATATTTTTGAAGTTGGTAGATAATAATTTAGAAAACGTATTTTCACTAGTAATGTCATGAAGGATGCAGTGCCCAACCTCCCTGACCAACAACTTTTATGGTTACCACTTCAAAGTGAGAAAGACGTACATGACCTCTTAAATTGCTGTGAAGGGCAAGCAGAAGGTAAAGCAAAGCTCTCTCTCAACTTCACGCTGGGCCAGTCAGGTGCCACATGGTAGTTCACACTTTTATAATAGCTATAACATTTTGGTTTTGTCCTCAAGTTATTTCCTTCGGGCTGATTTTTCTTATATGATTTCTATCTAAATAATTCATCTGAATGGGTATTCAAAATATTTTAAAGGGAAATTAATCACTGTAAATTACACAAGTAATCTACCTCGGGACTTCTCAATGGAAGGAGTGCAAACATCAACCTCCACTTTGAGGTTTTGTCCCAATATATTCTACCCGTACAGGTAGGCTTTTAGGTCTTTACAGGACTGATAATCCCCAGGGTAGCAATCCCAGTAATAGACTTCCACTTTTATTGATGGCAAGAATTGTGTAACAGACCATTCTAAAAAGATAATGAGAAAAAAATGGGGAGGGATCAAGTTAGTGTTTAAGAAATATATTTCCCTGCTACCTTTTTAAGTAGTACTTTTTAAGTAGCAAAAAAAAATGGGTCTCAAAAATTATTCAAAAAAAATCTTTGTTCAATAAATTCCCTTGAATGCAGTCTGACTTCTTTCTTACGTAATTATTTGGTTATCTATAATATGCTCTAACTTTGGTGTTAATGAATAAGGTTTGCAAGTAGAGTTTCTGGTATGTATTCAAAGTTCCATCCAGTGAGGTCTTTATTTGACTACAGACTATCAGGCAATTTTCCAACAATATGCATTTACAAATTAGTAGCCACAAATCAGGTCCCATAGTAAGGTGTATATTACAAAATGTGTTAACCATGGACAGATGATTATAAAGTTGCAGCTATTACTGTTTATTGCTTTGATGTAGTCGAAGGGGAAAAGAGATGTGTGATTTTTCTTATTAACAAATTTAATTAACTTTTAAGTGATTTCTAGGAAGATAAATGTTTTCCTTATAGCATCATATACTGAGCTGCTTGACTAGATATTAAACATCAATTCAAAGTTTTTGACAGTACTGCTGATAATAAGGGATTGTATGTTTGGTTATCTTGTTTAACATCTACATATTCATCTATAATAGTAAATAAGTAAAACTGCCTTGCTCAGCCAGCTTATGTTGCTTAACTTATATTACCTTATTCATGCCCCTTAATTTAATGGGGACATAGAAATAGATAAGGAAATAGCTCTGCCTTTTATATTCTATTCCCTTTGTCTCCATAGATGTGTGTCTCAGTCACCTTAAAATTTTTAGAGTAGTTATCTGGGGGATATGATAGTCTTTTATTCCATAAGCATCAAATATGCCTCTTGTCATGGTAGCTATGAATTCAATGAATTAAGTGGTCATAGATTCAGTCACAGTGTGTGTGTAGTTGACATATCAGAATTTATACTAATTTAAACTGATTTTATAAAATTATGAAACTCTATTCATGAGGATGTCCCATGTAGCATTTACTGTCAGTCTGCTTGATAAATATCTCCTTGGATATTTTCTCTAAAAACTCCTATCAGGCGAGGCATGATGGTACACCCCTATAATCCCATCACTTTGAGAGGCCAAAGTGGGAGGAATGCTTGAGCTCAGAAGTTTAAGACCAACCTGGGCAACAACCCATCTCTAATAAAAATACCAAAAATTAGCCAGGTATGGTGGTATGTGCTTATAGTGCCAGCTACTCAGGAGGCTGACGGGAGAGGATCATGTGAGCCTGGGAGGCAAAGGCTGGAGCCAGCCTAGATGGTATCTCTGCACCTCAGCCTGGGTGACAGAGCAAGACCTGTCTCAAAAAAATAGAAATCTCATCATAAAATATAGATTGCTATATATGTATATATAGCAATATACACACATGTGCACACATGCATGTACACACACAAACATGTATTAAGGTTAAAGATGCTGAGATGGGGATACTATCCTGGATTTTTCAAGCGAGTGTTATGTAATCATACATGCCCTTAAAAGTCAAAGAGGATGGCTGAATAATAGATCAGAAAAATAACATGAAAAAAGATGGAAGGAGGGATTCAACAAATGTAAGAGGGGCTTGACCACCATTGCTGGCTTTAAAAGTGGAAGAAATGTGTCATGAGCCAAGGAATATGGGGACCTCTAGAAACTGGGGTTATTCCTCACATGACAACCATCAAGGAAGTGGGGATCCCAATTCTACAAACTCCAGCAACTGAATTCTGTCAGCAACTTGAATGAGCAAGGAAATTGTTTCTCCTTAAAGCCTCCAGAAAGAAACATAGCTCTAGTGAGACTGTCTTGAATTTCTGAATTATAGAGCTTTAAAATAATAAACTTGTTTGGTGTCAGCTGCTAAACTCGAGATAATTTGTTATCGGAGCAAAAACAAAACGATTTTAGATATGTTTGTATATGTTCCCTAGTGGATATACAGTTAAGCAGCTGGACACATATAAAACACACATACACACCTACAGCCACACCAGTCAAATTGAACCATTCTACCATAATAAATATTCAATTATATGGGTCAATAAAAATAACTTGAACAAGAGTTGTTTAAACTGCTAATTGCATAAATGATTGACTTGGGGATTTTAAGATATTTCATAGACAGAAAAAGTGACTGAACATTTTAAGGATATTATTGTTAAGAATCAAGACATATTTATATTTTGTTACTGAATTATAATTTTTTGTATTTACTTGATGAGTAATTTCAGACCAAAAAAGATTTCACTCTTTTTTTTTTTTTTTTTTTTTGGTGAATAAAGGAGACAGCATGTGTGTCGTTTTTACTAAAATGACCAGCTTGACTGATTTGTCAATAATTCTTAATACAAATTATAGGCAAAATATAAAAGTAAAAGAAACTATTTCAACAGAAACTATTCAACTCTGTCACGGAATTTTTTTCTCTTCAGGTGTTTTTGCAATTCTTCTGTCTTTTCTCAGAATCAAACCTCAAGAAATATTAAACTCTCAGGGGCAGTTGTGTTTTGATGAGTCAAAGAGACAAATCCTGCTGAAATACTTGGCGTAATGACACACAGGAACACCGTTGTAAACATGATTTTCACATCTTAGGCATTATGGTTTCAAAGAAGGCACAAACATTCAGCATCCCCCTCCTGAATGTTTTACCAGTGCCTGTAAAACTGGATATACAATTGCACATGTGCTGTTAAAATACATCATATTGCATTCCAGGCTTTGTGGACCTAGCATGACTATTGTGTACCTGGCTCATACGGCAGCTGAGGGTCTTGTTTTCTTTTCTTTCCTTGTTGACAGTTTGGGGCATAATTATGTAGAGTTTTACAGTTTCTAAGATTTATTTCAGTTTGTTTTGCATGGAACTTTTCAAAACAAAGTATATAGGAGCCGATAATATATATTGTGATGCATAATTTGTATCACCATTGAGTTTTAGCTAAGAGTAATTTTATTAGATGAACATTTACTCAATATTTTCTCATTTTAGTTGATGCAAAATGATTTTTCATGACTTAAAACTTTTAGCAAATATAGGTATATTATGTTATCAAAAATTTTCTGTTATGCGGAGATATGCATTCTAATGTTGAAGAAGTGTCCCTCAAAGGCAGATTACAGTTACTGTAGTTTTACTCCTATTTGGCTTTACTATAGTTTTACTCCTATATAACTAAACAGATTTAGTTTCAAATCTGTTTCATTTCATATAATGTTTATTAATTCCACAAGGATTTGTTAAGTAGTTTTGTAAATGAGGTATCCTGTTAAGAACTGAGACACTGAGATATTTGTTTCTTGTTTAACCTTCTGTAAACCACAATTTTCTTATTTGTAAAATAAGATTAATAATATTTACTCATAAGAACATCATGAGAATTGAGGTTATGCTTACATTTATCATAAATATTATTTATTATGATAAATGTAAGTAATATAAAATGTTATTTATTATAAACAAATATAATGCCTATTATTAATAAACATATAAACATGAAAATGAATATATAAAATGAGCAAAAACCTACAGAATCTTGAATTGTCACTCAGCAGATTATGTGAAATGAATTAAAAACAGAACTTTTTCTCACTTTAGAATTCAAAAATATTAAAAAATTTTAAGACAAAGATTCAGTATTTTTATGAGTTTTCTGTCATAGTATTGTTATTGCTAATGACATTACCGGTTTTCGTTTTGTTGATTTTAAATGAAGTATATTAAACTATAGTATTTTCATGTTTTAGATTATACATTGTATTGTCATTGTCATTTCTTCCTTAGAGAGTAAAATAATATTTGGTTAGAAAAATGCCATAATTTGTTAACTGTCACCTTCATTTACAGTAGCCCATCAAAACTGACATGAAGTTTTTTTTCATTTTATTTAACAGGCAACAGACCCTGATGCTGGAATAAATGGTCAAGTGCACTACAGTTTGGCTAACTTTAATAATCTTTTTCGTATCACATCCAATGGGAGCATTTACACAGCAGTGAAGCTTAACAGAGAAGTCAGGGACTACTATGAACTTGTTGTTGTGGCAACAGATGGAGCAGTGCACCCTCGTCATTCAACAATAACACTGGCCATTAAGGTTTTGGACATTGATGATAATAGTCCTGTGTTCACCAATTCAACATACACTGTCCTTGTTGAAGAGAATCTGCCGGCTGGGACCACCTTTCTTCAAATAGAGGTGTGTGGAAAAAGCATTTATTCCATGAATTCTACATTATGACATCTGCTATTAGGGTTTGTTTGCCAAAATTAGTAGGTGAAAATACAACACATCAAGCTGGCTTTAAATTTCAGATGAACAATGAATACATTTTATTATTTCTCCAAATTGTATATTGTATTTTATGTGGCAATCCTACTTTAAAGATATCCCAAAAATTAAGGAGAGAAAGGTCTTTTTGTAAGAAATTTAAAAAAAACTATTTAATAGATTTTTAATTTACAAAAGTAATATTCTGTTTATTACAACAGTTGACAATACAATAGTTTATGAAGCAAAAGTTAATAATCTCCCACAAAGCGCCTCCAGAGTACTCAGCATTAAATTTATTTCACATTTATTTTTGTGTTCACACAAATATCAAAATAATGTGTAGGCATATAAGTGTGTATTTGTGTGGGTTGTACATATATAACATAGATTTGTATACACAGAAAAAACCATAGATAGTTATGTATTGGTTTCCCTCTGTTTCACAGATATTGTTATACCATTATTCTGTATTTTTCACATTCAATACACAAAGGCATCCTCTAGTAATCTAATGCTCCTTTGTAATGACATCTCTGTATCAAGTCTTTTTTTTTTAAGTTTTCTACTATGCATTACTCAAAGTCCTGAATGTTTTGGTTCAGTAGATTATCCTGATCCATAAATCTGTGGTTTTGAGCAACCCCCTCATTTAGTACTGACTCAGTTGGTCTAGGAGGTATATTTTGAAAAAAAAAAAAAACTTGTCATTTTTCCACTGGCAGTTTGCAACTTGATATTTTTAACACTGTTTTCCAGAATCTGTATTCATTCCATAATTGAACTCAGCAAATGTTTACTGAGGCAGTAAACATTAACAAATCTAAATAAGGCAAATACTAACCAGGGAGAGACCATTATTCCCTCATCTCTTCCACCATTAATTTATCAATTCATTCATTAATTCATTTATTTAACAAATGTATCTTCAATACGTACAATATGGCAAGTCTTCTGCTAGACTTGGGGTATACACAGGTGAACAATACAAATTTACTGCTTTCTTGGAGTTTTCAGGCTGGTTTAGTAATCTGTCAAGAAAATTGGTAGTTAAAATGTATGTCCTCAGTATAAAGGGCCTAGGTATTAAAGGCGGAGCTCCTAACCTAATCTTAAGGCAAAGAGAATATTTGCTAGAGATGGTTAACTGAGGGACAAATAAGAGCTATTCAAGCAACAAAGGAATAAAGATTGTTTAAGGTAGTAGGGGAAAAAACCTGCTCAAAATCATGGAAGAAGGGAGTGTGAGGGGTGGGAGGCTAAAGATCTAGAAAATGTAGTGGATCTTACCACATTAAGGATAATGGTATTGTTTGCAAATTTAGTTAAAAAACAAAAGGATTTTAAGCAGGAAAAATCACATAATAAAATATATGCTTTAATGGCATCTTTCTGATTGTTAAGTCAATAACTGGAGGGGACCAAGGCTGAGGTTCACATAGGAGGTGTTTGCATTAAAAAATGCACATTCCAACAGACTCTGAATCTTCCCCATTTTTGTTCTTACTCTATTCCGTATTCTGTACCTGAGGTGCATTTGCTAGTCTGTACTGCTGAGTGAAATAGCCCTTCTACAAGACTCTCATGAAAACCCATCCTTTCAGCTAAAGGACATTGTTCCCAATTTAGAACATCTTTTAGAACTCATGGCACATTTTTTCCTTTCTATTTTAGTATTAGTGTCTTAGTTCTTCTCTGAGACTATAACCTGGAGGGCAATAATTTTGTTTTCATTTATCTTGGTGCTCTCTACAGCACCTTGTGAGTAACTACTACTCACCTATTAGTTAAATGAAGGGAAGTATAGTAGAGTGATCTCTAGAGATGTATTATAGGATCCTTGTGAAAAAAAATTACTACTTATATTTTCTTAGTTTTCTTATAGTACTTTAGCCTTCTATTATCTTTATGGAAATCACTCAGTATTTATTTTTATTTAAAATATTTTTTCATGATTATTAAATCAGCAGAAAATAAGACACAATCATATAAGATAATATTTATTTCTTTACTGTGATATAATTCATTTAGTGTTTTTTTGAGTTAAATGGGTATAGTAATAACAGCAGCAATGACAAAATCTTACGGGATGATCTCTCTCTCTCTTTCTCTCCCTCCCCCCACCCCATTCCCTTCCTCCTTTCCTGCCTTCCTCCATCTTTCTCTCCCCATCCCTCCTTCCCTCTTTCTGATAAATTATTAAATAATGTGCTTTTCTTTTAAAATGTGTCTTTTTGTCCTTGTTAAATTCATGCGGTTTTAGGTACTGACACATGACTTCCATCCTCCCTGCATTTCTTTATTTTGGTAAGATCACTAATATAACCAGTCTTCTGCCTATTACAGGCCAAGGATGTCGACCTCGGAGCAAATGTGTCTTACCGGATAAGAAGCCCAGAAGTGAAGCACCTTTTTGCACTACATCCATTTACAGGAGAATTATCCCTTTTAAGGAGTTTAGATTATGAGGCATTTCCAGACCAGGAAGCAAGTATCACTTTTCTGGTAGAGGCCTTTGATATTTATGGAACAATGCCACCTGGTATTGCTACTGTCACAGTGATTGTAAAGGTAAGGACTAGGAATGACATCTGGTTGCCTTCTTTGCTCTCTCTACATGTAGGTTTTGTTTCTTACATTATACTTATAGTATGTTTTGATAACAATCACTAATGACACAGTGGTACCATACCCAGAACATAGATCTTCAAATGGGAAATATTTATGAAGACAGAAGAAATAACTATATTTTGATTATAAAAGATAAATTTGAAAGAGTCACTAAATATGAGTATAAACCCCATGAAAGTTTGAGTCTGCCACCAGCCCTGTGACTTCCATCAAGTCGTAACTTCTCTAGACTAGATTTTAGTTCAGATTCCACAGCATCAGGCATAATTATTTGGTACAAATCCCTCAACTAAAAAAAAATTTTGTAAATGACTCTGAGGGGCTAAGTTCTTAGGCCATAAAATTAATTTAGTTTTGAAACCCACATCTCTGGAATAAAATAAGCTTCCAAGTCAGATGGAACTGGGGTTCAATTCCAGCTTAACCCTTTTCAGGCTCTGTTACCTTGGAGACTTTGTTAACTTTCCTGGATTCCTTATCTCATGTAGAGTAATGCCCTGTGCCAGTTGTTCGCCTTAAAGAGCATGGCATTTTTAACCTTTTGAGTTTCCAGTGATTTTTAAGGGACAACTTACAGGTATATGTGAGAAGAAATACTATAAGTTAATCAGTTCTCAAATAGTAGTACATACAAATATCATCTGAGCATCATCTTAAACTTTCAGATTTCTCTACTCCTTCCCCAAAAAAGGACCTATCCCATGGGGACCATCAGAAATATCAGCATTTTAGAAAAGTACAGATGATTCTTACACAAGATGTCTGAATATTCTGTGTTGAGAAATTTATTTCAATTACAAATATACACATACAAAAATCCTTGAGTAACTTTACTATATGAGTGTAGCACTAAAAAATGACCTTATATGACATTAATTTCTTAGGTGATATAAAGTAGAAGTTCATTCATTATGAGGGTATGTTGAAAAAAAATTTAGTTTTGGTAAGGGAAGAAAATAGAAACTTGAAAGTGTTCTATTTAAAGTGATTTTTCTGGTCCCTGAATGGATTTTGAATGATGAAAAATTGCTGATAAGAAAGAAACAGAGATACACAGAGCAAGGGCAGTGGAGGGAGAAAAAGACAGAAGATCTATAAGATAAATGAAGCACTTGCAAAGAAGCTTGTAGAGTGTTTCAGTGACCATGTATAAAATAGATGAATGCAATTAATTAATTGAATAAACAGTTTAACTTTAGTATGGATGTTTTGATTTATATTTTATTCACAGTTGTATCTATGTTCTACCCCCAAAAATATAATTGATAATTATGGTTCAGATTTTACAAGGTGACCATAGAAACTGAATTTCTATGTTAAAGAGTGAAATCTATGGGCTTAAAGAGAAAATGTGGAAAGCCGTGGACATTTTTAATACATGTTTAGTTGCAGGATCATACCATAGCATTGGAATAAAATCTTGGCCGCCACATATTGTCTACTACGTGGTGGTGCTTTCATATAGTCACTAAAAATGTGTAAGAGCTGAGTGGGATCAAAGTTACATGATTTGCCAGCTTTTTTAGGTTATCTAATCCTGGAGATCATGCAGATAACCTTAGGCATCTACGTTCACTGAAACTTTGCCAGTGTTACATTTTCAGGTTGTATTTTTGTTCCCATCAGTGCCTTTTTCATTTGTTCTTTTGAAGTGGCTACAGTTGCAATCCATTATGTGTTTAAGGTGAATTGTTTAGCAGAATTTACTTGTGATAAATTACTAACAATTTCATATCATTTGGATTTTTTTGGCTACCTGAAGACTGTGGGAAGGTACACATATACTTCTCCCTAAAAATAGGACAGAGTTCCTGAAGATTACTCCCTTTTCCTTTCTTTTTCTAAATGTTTTATTTTAGTGATCTGCACATTTATGTGAGACCATTCTACAACACATTTTTATGGCTGCATAGTTATTCCATGGCATATATGTGCCACATTTTCCTTATTCAGTCTACCATTGATGGACATTTAGGTTGGTTGATTTCATGTCTTTACTATTGTGTATCATTTAATAATGATACATGTTATGTATCTTTATGGTACGATTTATTTACCATTGGGTATATACATAAAAATGGGATTGCTCAGTCAAATGGTCTTTGCTTAGAGTTCCTTGAGAAATCGCCAAGCTGCTTTTCACAATGGCTGAACTAATTTGCATTCCATCAGCAGTGTATAAGTGTTTCATTTTCTCCCCAAGCTCTCTAGCATGTCATTTTTTTTTTTTTTACTTTTTAATAGCAATTCTGATTGGTGTGAAATGGTATCTCATTGTAGTTTTGATTTGCATTTCTCTTATGATTAGTGATAATGAGCATTTTTTTCATATGCTTGTTCACCATATGTCTATCTTGTTTTTAAAAGTGTGTGTTCATATCTTTTGCCTACTTTTTAAGGGGGTGATTTGCTTTTGGCTTATTGAATTGTAAGTTCCTTATAGATTCTAGATATCAGATCTCTGTCAGATGCATAGTTCATAAGCATTTTCTTCCATTCTATAGGTGGCCTGTTTACTCTGTTGATAGGTATTTTTGCTGTGCAGAACCTCTTTTGTTTAATTAAGTCACACTTGTCAATTTTAATTAAATCACACTTGTTGTTACAGTTGCTCTTGGCATCTTTGTTGTCAAATCTTTGCCTGGGCCTATCTCCAGAATGATATTTCCTAGGTTATCTGACAGTGTTTTTATAGTTTTAGGTTTGACATTAAAGTCTTCAATACATTTTGAGTTGAATTTTGTATATGGTGTAAGGAAAGGGTCTAGTTTCATTTTTCTACATATGTCTAGCCAGTTATCCCAGCATCGTTTGCTGAATAGGGAGACCATTCCCCATTGCTTGTTTTTATTTACTTTGTTGTACATCAGATAGTTATAATTATGCAGCATTATTTCTGGGATCTCTATTCTTTTCCATTGGTCTTTGTGTCTGTTTTTGTACCAGTGCAATGCTGTTTTGGTTGCTGTAGTATTGTAGTATACTTTGAAGTCAAGTAACATAATATCTCCAGCTTTTTTCTTTTGCTTTGGATTGCCTTGGCTATTTAAGCTCATTTTTGTTTTGATATGAATTTTAGAATGCATTTTTATAGTTTGGTGAATAATATCATTGGTAGTTTGATCAGAATAGCATTGAATCCATAATTTGCTTTGGGCATTATGGCCATTTTAATGATATTGGTTCTTTCTATCCAGAAGCATGGAATGTTTTTCAATTTGTTTCTGTCATCTTTGATTTCACTGTGCAATATTTTTTATTCTCATTGTAGAGATTTTCACCACCTTGGTTAGTTGTTTTCCTAGGAATTTGGTGTGTGTGTGTGTGTGTGTGTGTGTGTGTGTGTGTGTGGCTATCCTAAATGGGATCGCATTCTTGATGTGGCCTTCAGCTTGGATGTTGTTGAAACATTGGAATGCTGTTGATTTTTATACATTGATTTTGTATCCTGAAACTTTGCTGAAGTTGTTTATTAGATCAAGGAGCTTTGAGGCAGAGACCATGGGGTTTTCTAGGTGTAGAATCATATCAACTGCAAACAGAGGTAGTTTGACATCCTCTCTTCCTATTTGAATGGGTTTTATTTCTTTGTATTGCTTTATTGCTCTGGCCAGGACTTCCAGTACTATGATGAATGGGAGTGATAAGAGAGGACATCTTTATCTTGTTTCTCTTTTCAAGAAGAATGCCTCCAGCTTTTGCCCATTCAGTATGATGTTTGCTGTGCCTTTGTCATAGATGGCTTTTATTATTTTAAAGTATGTTCTTTCAATGCCTTGCTTGTTAAGGGTTTTTAACATAAAAGGATGTGGACTTTTATTGAAATCCTTTTCTGTGTTTGTCAAGATGATCACCTAGTCTTTGTTTTTAGTTCTGTTTCTGTGGTAAATCACTTCTTTTGATTTGCCTATTTTGAACCAACCTTGCATCCGAGGCATAAAACCTACTTGATGGTGATGGATTGGCTTTTTGATGTGCTGCTCGTTGGTCTGTATTTTGTTAAAGATTTTTGCATCTGTGTTAATCAAAGATACTGGCCTGAAGTTTTCTTTTTTTGTTGTGTCTCTATGAGATTTTGGTATCAGGATGATTTTGGCCTCAGAGTGTGTTAGGGAGGGATGCCTCCTCAATTTTTTGGAATAGTTTCAGTAGGGATGGTACTAGCTCTTCTTTATACATCTGGTAGAATTTGGCTGTGAATCCCTCTGGTCTTGGACTTTTCTTGCTTGGTATGCTGCTGTTTTTTACTGATTTGATTTCAGAATTTATTATTGATCTGTTAAGGGATTCAATGTCTTCTCAACTCAAACTTGGGAGGTTGAATGTTTCCAGGAATTTATCCATTTCCTCTTGGGTTGCTAGCTCGTGTACACAGAGGTATTCATAGTCTCTAAGGATTCTTTTATATTTCTGTGGGGTCAGAAGTAATGTCCACTTTATTCAGTTATTCATTTCTGATTGTGTTGAGTTGGATCATCTCTTTTTTTTCGTATTTGTATAGCTATTTGTCTATCTATCTAATTCTTTCAAATAACTAATTCCTAAATTCATTTATCTTTTTATGGCCTTTTGCATCTCATTTTCCTTCAGTTCATCTCTAATTTTGGTTATTTCTTGTCTTCTGCTAGCTTTGATGTTGGTTTGCTCTTGTTTCTCTAGTTCTTCTAGATGAGATGCTAGATTGTTCATTTGATATCTTTCTGACTTTTTTAATGTGGGCATTTTACACTTTGAACTTCCTTCTCAATACTGCTTAAACTATGTCCCAGAGATTCTGATATGTTGTATCTTTGTTTTCATTAGTTTCAAATATTTTATTTCTGACTTAACTTTATTGTTTACCCAGAGATCATTCTGGAACAAGTTGTTTAATTTCCATGTAATTGTGTGGTTTTGAATGTTTTTCTTACTACTGATTTCTGTTTTTATTACCCCATGTT